ATTGATAATTTTGAAGACAGTGAAAATAGGGTGAACAGTTCAATGGATTGTAATAACAGAGATGAAAGTTAAGAGTCTAAAACAGGAGTTGAAAAGCAGAGGACATATTGAACAAATTCTTCAGAGAAACTTAGCAAGATTTCAAGACCTTTGAATATAGGAGGCAGAGGAGGAATCGCTGTAGGTTCAATCTGAGTTGTCTTGTTTAGACCATGTCATAAATGGTGACTCTGTTAACTGAAATAGGAAAGAGAAGAAAGGGAGTAGATTGGGCAGAGGTAGATGAGTTACTTTGGAAAGAAAAGGCATTACCTGCTAGTGTTACAATAACAGGTTTTAAAAAAGAAATGAGTGTCACTTTGAGAAAAAAGAAAATAATCTCACAATTAAAAAAAAATAAAAGTCATGCTAAAACTGCACCAGATGATTAAAGTTAATGATGCCTCTTAAGTGCAAGGAATTTTAAAAGTAAATGTTTTAGAAGTTTCAAGTCAGACATTCACTCTGAGATCTTCATATCACCAAGCACAGCTCACCTCTACTTACGCTGCACTTCCCCTGCATCACCACATTGTGCTCATTTGTTACCTGTCTCTCCCTCTCTCCATAGCTCACTTTGACATATACCCATAGTGTCATTACCAGTGCTTGGCGCATGGTAAGGACAGGTAAGAGCACTTAATAATCAGTTTTTAGGAGAACCTGGCTGGCTCAGTCAATAGAACATGCAACTCTTCATCTCAGGGTTGTGAGTTTGAGCCCTGCATTGGGCATGGAGCCTCCTTTGTTGTTGTTGTTGTTTTAAAGAATTTATTTATTTATTTATTTTATTATAGAAAGAGAGAGACCATCAGTAGGGGGGAGGGGCAGAGAGAGAGAATCTCAAGCAGATTCCATGCTGAGCGTGGACTCCAATACAGGGCTTGATCTGATGAGCCTAGATCATTACCTGAGCCAAAATCAAGAGTCAGAAGCTTAACCAACTGAATCACCGAAGCGCCCCAGAGCCTACTTTAAAAAACAAAACAAATCAGTTTTTGGTATCACAAAGAATTTGGTAAATGTCAACATTATTACACCGTTCTGTGTTTCACCATTAAATCCCAAAATAATAGGAGATGTAATTTTTTTTCTCATCAAGTGCTGTAGTCATTGGTAATTTTTTAAACTGCAAGGATGCTTCCTCCCACTTATTACAAAAATAGTTATATCAATCAGATATTTCACTGAAGTACAATTAAGCTTTTGAAAACAGGATCACCTATGACAGTAAATTTCAATCTGAAAAACTCAATATTTTGCTCAAATAGTTCCCTTAGCAAAATTCTTTGCAGCTAAAACTGTCAGGTTTTAGGATCTACACACCTTATAATTATTGTTTTCTCCTTTCACATTACCATGTTAAGAAATAACACGGGATTTTTTTTTAAACTAACAATATGAACATTGAACCCCACTGTATTCTACTGAAGAGTGTGTCCACATACACAACACACACACACATGCATACACACCAATACATTCCAATATAGCAACCATGTCACCATGCCTTGGACCTTATAAAAAAAGGTCCAAGTATGAGAGCTTTACCACCAAGTATTAGAAGTGTGTTATTACCAATAAATCTTAATTCTTTAAGTGTTTTCAAACACAAAGCATCTCTCTGTATTCTATCAGAGCTAATTAAGTGATCCATATGATGGAAATGTTGACTGCTAATTTAGGATAATACATCACTTCTCTAAGGGGACCTATAGAAGGGGAAAAGGCTAAATGGACTCATTATGCTTGGTTCTTCTTATCCTTTTAATTAAAACAGAAACTAAAAATTAAATTATATTTGACCTTGTTTTGCCATCAAATTCTTTCACAAACTTACTTATTTTCCTTTCTAGAAGAATCTAAATATTCCGTTTTTGTGACATCCTACTAAAGGAAGTAGAATCTTGTGAAAAAAAATTTGAATTCAGAGTTTAAAGATCTAGATTCACTTGAAAAGGAAGAGCAATACTGAGGAAAGGGAGTTGCTAACCCAACCAGATAGAAACATTTTCTAAGGCCTCTGTAATTAAAACAGTGTGGTATTGGCATTTGACTAGCCAAGTAGATCAACAAAAAAGAATAAAGAATCAAGAAACACACACAGTTTCTTGGAGTATTCAAAGAAAGTGGACTTACAAATCAAGTGGGAAATATGGGCATTTTAAATGGTGCCAAATAACTGCACAGTAATAAGAAAAATAATAAATATGGAATTTATTCTTTACACCCCAAACTGATGAAAATTCCAAAAAAAAAATAGAAATTTAACTGTCAAAAAGTGAAATTACACAAGTACAAACATTCGTGAATTTCTCTATAACTAGAAGTGAAGAAAAGTCTCCTCGGGTTCAAAATCTTAAAGCAGTAAGGAGAATAATAAATTTGACATGGTTAAAAATGCATGAGAAGTACAATTTCATAAGCAAAATTAAAAGGTCAACAATGCTATTTAAAACAAGTCTAGAGATATAAACAGATAGCTTCTAAAAAAGAAAATATAATGATCTTCATATGTTTAGTACTCTCAAACATGCGAGGCTCATAATTAAGAGAAATATAAATTAATGTCACACAAATATATTTATCTTATTTATCAATTTGACAGAAAAGCAAGAGCTTGCCCAATACTCGGAAAGGCCAAGGGGAAATAAATACATATACATCACTAAAAAGAATGCAAAATGTTACAAATGCTGTGGAAGCCAATTTGGCACTATTTAGCAAAATTACATATTATTTATGCTTACCTCTTCTCAAATCGATCTCAAAGATAAAATAATAAAATGTAAAAATATGTATATACAGGGCTATTTATTATAAAATTTAAAGTGGTAAAAAGCCAGAAACAACCTAAATTTTCATCAGTACAAAATGAACTGGATTAACTCTGAGATACTTACAATGGAACACTATAGAACTGTAAAAAAATTATTACTTTTTCATATGTAATCTCCAGGATACACTGTTAAATGAAGACAGCAAGCTGTAGAAAAAATATGTACATATTCACTGTATCATCATTTATCTAGGAAAGACAGGATATGTGTGTATATGTGCATGTACATGTACACACAATGGAATATTAGGCTACAATCACATAAAATTATCACTTGATAAGAGAAAATAGAACAGATAGATATAAAAGTCAGGAGCAGGAAATTTGTAAAATGAATCTGAATATTTTGCCGTTCCAAAAAGCAAGGAAGTTATCAAAAATTATTGAAATAATGTCAAAAGAATTCATGAACCATCTTGAAGTAGATCCCACTGTTCAAAGATGAGTCATTTGCAGCACCAATAAAAGGAATAACATCAGTGGATTTGGATGAACCAAATATGTTAAAAATCCAGTAATTTGCAATGATCATTTTGAAAAAGTTGATGATGACTTTTGGAGGGTGCTGGGAAAATCAATGTATTATTCTAAACACTAGAAAATAAAGGGAAAGAATCATCGAGATAACTTATTTTTCCAGTAAAAAATGCACCTCAGCATATTGAAAAAGTTGATGATAAAGAAATTCTCCCTATAGAAGTATTCCAGCTAGTATATAAAGATGTAATAAAATAATTGAAATATTACCATTTTGCAAACCCCCAAGTAAACTCAGAATCTGGGAAATGATTCTTAATGGCAACTAACATTACAGCAGAAGACAACTAGACATCATTCATCTCTTGATAGGAATTTACAAAACCACTTAAGAAGTAATATTGCACACACACACACACACACACACAAAGAATAGCCTAAATATGATCAAGAGTTTTGATCTAACCAATGGGACAGGAAATACATGGAGAACAGAGAACAGATTGGGGGAGTAGCAGGATGGTTTTGGGGGGGTTGAGTTTTAAATGAGAATACAATGAGCAGTATCTAGAAAAGTAAGAAAGTTCACAAGATGAATTAGTTTCTTCAACAAACCAACTTCAAGTAAATATTAAAAAATAAAAACTAAGGTAACCTATGAAATAAAAAATCTTTTAAGAGATCCCCCAACAGAATGCAGTGCATGCAGCCTGTTTGAATGCCAATTCAAACAAACCAGCAACATAAAATCTCTAAACAAACAAACAAATAAAACATGTATGAAAAAATACTAACTGGATATTGGATGATATATAAAGACATTACCAGAATTTTTTATGTATGAACATGGCACTATGACTACATTATTTAACAAAAGTTTTTTTTTGTTAGAGACACATACTCAAATATTTATGGATGGAATATGATATCTAGAAACTTATTTCAAAAGAATTCTGGGGGCAGAGACAGTAAAGGTGGTGCAAATGAACACAAGTGTGGCTGAGAGCAAATGAGTGTTAAGCCTGAATAATGGGTCCATGTATTTTTCTCTCCACAATGGGTGTTTAAAATTATCCATAATATATTATTGGTGGAAATGTAATATGATGTAGCTGCTATAGAAAACATTATGAAGTTCCCAAAAAAATTAAAAATAGAATTATCATCTGATCCAGCAATCCCCTTATGGGTATTTATCCAAGAGAATTTAAATCAGGATCTCAAAAGAGATATGTACACTCCCATGTTCATTGTAGCATTATTTAAGAGCCAAAACATGGAGATAACCTAAATGTCCCATTGATAGATGAATGGATAAAGAAAATGTTGTATACACATAAAATGGAACATTATTCTACTTTAAAGAAAAATCCTAATATATGCAACAGTATTGATAAACCTGGAGGACGTTATGCTAGAGAACAAAACCAATTGCAGAAGGACAAAAACTGCATGATTCCACTTACATGAAGTATCTAAAATAGTCAAACTCATGGAAATGGAGAGTAGAATGGTGATTACAAGGGAAAGGGGAAAGTGGGAATGGGGAGTTACTGCTCAATGGGTATAAAATTTCAGTTATACAAGATGAACAAGATTAAGGCATCTGTTGTACAACACGGCGCCTGTGGTTAACAAAACTGTAGTGCTCCTTTAGCAGCACATATACTAAAATTGGAATGGCACAGAGAGTAGCATGGCCCCCGCACAAGGATATCACTCAAATTTGTGAAGCATTCCATATTTTAAAAATACTATATTGTGCCCTTAAAAATTGTTAAGAGGATAGATTTCATGTTAAATGTTCATAGCACAAATTTTTTTTAAGATTTTATTTGTTTATTCATTAGAGACACACAGAGAGAGGCAAAAACATAGGCAGAGGGAGAAGCAGGCTCCCTGCAGATTGTGACCTGAGCCAGAGGCGGACTAACAACCACTCAGGTACCCCCATACCACAATTTTTAAAAAAGAAGAGGAAAACAAGTATCTATGATAAAAGGATTAAAAAGGACCTACGTACAAATCCTGGATCCACCATTTGTTGTCTATTTAATATGACCTAGGCCACTCACACATTCTGAGCCACCATTTTATTCATATGTTAAAAAAAAGTAGATGATAATAATAGTTTTATACATTGGTTTGGCATCTCTAATTTTGGAGCTTGATAATTATTCATTGAAAAAAAGAAGAGGTTTGGAAATTAGAGGTGACCCCCATTTAAATATGTCATTATTCTATGACATTAGTTAGGCAAGTACTTAGCTTCTCTGAGCCTTATTTTCTTTCTTATAAAATGGGGATCATACCAGCATTATATCATTTTTATGAGAACTATGTAAAGTTGACACTCTGTAAATAGCACTTTCCTCCATGAAGCCATTTTGATTCCCATTTGGAAATACTCTTCAGATAGACATACTTCGATTATTATTGTACCAATAATCTCCCCCTAAATCATTATTTAATACCTTTTTTAATAAGATTCTGGGCCCCTTGTGAACAGAGATCATTCATATCCTCTACCTCATGGAAGGTATATTACACACAGTTGGCAATCAATACATTTTGATGAGTTAAATCCCTTAAATAGATTAGATGCTACCTTCACAAACTGATTAATCTCCTGCAATCTACTGACACTAAATGCTGTTGCTATATGTCACTTAAATATTGTAAAATGTATATAAGATCCTGGGGAAAATGTCTAATTGTTTCCTGAACAAACCATAAATGTGATAGGTAGGAAATAAAGTACAATTTGTAGTCCAGGTTTATCATCACAGTGACCTGGGTAATCTATTGACATGTGACAAACTATGGGATGACTGATAGCTCCAGCTTTGGCAATTCCTACATGTAATACAAACGTGTCACAGATTCTTCAGTAGAAAATTGTTTGAAGCATAAAGTGTCAGCTTCGTTTCAAAAATTGTATAGCTTGAAGAACCACCTGGCACATATCCCTGCTGTAACAATGAGTAGTGGTAATGAAGTGGTAGATTTTTATACAGGTGCCATTCACCTTAAATCCAGCAATAATGAGCATGGGAAAATGAATAAAGTCTCCAAAACACAATGGACTCCAAAAGAACCTGAGGTGACAAACAAACCAACCTTAACTGTAGTTTAAACATATTTCCACTTGAGAGTAAAACTCAATTCCGGCATTCTGACAACATGGTGACAACATAGTTTTTACTTCTGAGAATTGTAAGACCCTTTTCTCATAAAACCTGAAGAAAGCCAAAAGCAGTTCAATTAAAATGTCTAACTGTGATCATCTGTTATCCATAGCTCAATGGGACAGCTCAGCTCAGCTGAGGCCTGAGTTGAGCTGTGCCCTCTTCCCAGAATATCCCCTAAGGATTCTTTGAAACTACTAATTGTGCAGGTCACAGTCACAAAACTCATGCCTCAGTGCTCTCTCTTGATGTTCACAAGCAAACACTAGAGTGCAGTGTAGATAAAGGGAGGCTTTCTCTCTAATTAAAGAAGGATCATAAAAAAAAAAAAGGATCATGATCAATAATTTCAAAGGCCATCAAACATAACCCTATAAAAATATATGAGCTATGCATAAAGTTATAGGATCTATATTCCCCTAAAAAAGATAATAAAATTAAATCAAGCTCAGTTTATACCTTACAAAGTAAGACATTTGAAAAGAAATCATTGCAGCATCATTAGTTCACCATAAAGTGATGTGTTTATATTTTGCAAGACGAGGACTGCACTAAAATCTTTAAAGTGTCCATACAATTGTGTCAAAGCATACTTGATGCCATAACTCACAATTTTATTCACATTCTCAGTTTACATCAAATATTTTACATATTGTGATATGGGGATTTTATTTCACTTCCTGGAAAATCTTATGTTCAAGAAGGGATGTGGAGCAATTATAATATATTCCATAGAGTTTTCTTCAATTTACATTATTACATTCTGAAGTGAGTTGAAATATGCCAAGGTTTTATGTAACTGAAATTTTCTATTATTTTCATGGCTTAAATTGGGAAAGGGAGTGGAAAATAAATGTGTAAAGGAACAAAACGTAAATCCATTGTGGTCATATGTTGCCATAATCAGGAAAACTCTGTAGAATTGTTTGAGGGAGAATCTGAACAAATGACTGCATACATTTAGCAGAGGCTGCACTCATTACAACACACTAGAGTTTAATTTCTCCTTTAAAAAAATCTGTGAAAAGTCGAGATAAGATTCGTTATCCATGAAATAGAAATCATAATTCCAACATACATATCACAGTAATTTTCATCATTTTAAGAAAATAGCCAAGGTACACAGGAGATGGAGAAGCTTTGTAAAAAGCAAAGGACCATAAATATATAAGTGATGACCAAGAGGATGATCACTATCCACTTATTAGACAAAAATAGATAACATTACATCTGCATGATAACAAAGTACTTAGCACAGAGTAGCTGTCTATTATAGTTTTTAACTAAAATACTAATAGGTGTTGGGCAGGCACATTGTCAAACATACAGCTTTAAGCAAAATTAATCTCAAAATGAAGCTGGAGCATCTTCCAAGGCCGGAATGTAAAGCCATACTCCAAAAACAAAACCAAAAAACCACCCCACGATGACCTGACATAGCATGTCAAAGGAACTCAGGAACCAGATGAAACAACTCCCGATGGCCAAAGCCACAACAATCCAAGCTTCAAAATAAATAAAATAGAATTGGATTAGAATCCAAACTATAGAATAAGTAACTATAAATCTGTAGTATAATTAACAATTTAAAAATAAATGGGAGAGAATAAACAAACCTCCAGTGTAGAACAATTCCAAATAATTCATGTAGATATTTTATCCTCAAGAAGGAGCCTAACTCCCCACCCATTAAGTATGGGCTGTGGATAGTAAATTCCTTTCAAAGAGTATAGGTGGGAAACAAAAGGGGGAGAAAGGAGTAACTTTATAGTGGAGACATCTGAGAACACCTCAGCCAGGTGATCAAGATTAACATCAACAGTGCTAAGTCATGTTGATGGTGTATACCCTTGATATGATTGATGTGATAAGAATAGCATTTACCTCTGTGGTCTTCCACCCCAAAACCCCTAACCCCAGTCTAACTATGAGAAAAACATCAAACAAATCCAAGTTAAGGGACATTATACAAAACATCTAAACTGTTTCCCTCAAAATTGTCAAAATCATCAAAAACAAGGAAAATCTGAGAAATTGTCACAATCAAGAGAAGCCTAAGGAAATGGGACAATGAAATTTAATGTGTTATGTTTGATGGGACCCTGGAACAGAAAAAGGACCTTAAGTTAAAACTGAGAAACTCCAAATAAATTATGGACTTTAGTTAATAATAATGTATTCATATTGGTTCATTAATTGTAATAAATGTACCAGAGAAATGCAAGATATTGATGTGGAGAATAGAGAGTTAGAGAGTATAAGGGAATTTTCTGTATTATCTGTTTATGTCTTCTATAAAACTAAATCTAAAACTTCAATTTAAAAAGAAAGAGGTAGGGCAGCCTGGGGGGCTCAGCAGTTTGAACCTGCCTTCAGCCCAGGGCGTGATCCTGGAGTCCCTGGATCAAGTCCCACGTCGGGCTCCCTGCATGGAATCTGCTTCTCCCTCTGCCAATGTCTCTGCCTCTGTGTGTGTGTGTGTGTGTGTGTGTGTGTGTCTCATGAATAAATAAATAAAATCTTTAAAAAATAAAAAAATAAAAAGAAAGAGGTCTATCAGGTACTCTAGTGTCTCAGTTGGTTAAGTATCTGACTCTTGATTTTGGCTCTGATCATGATCTTGAGGTCATCGGGCTCCATGCTCAGTGGGGAGTCTGCTTGAGATTCTCTTTCTCCCTTTCCTTCTGTGCCTTCATCCACTCATGCTCTCTATCTCTCTCTTTCTCTCCAAAATAAAATAAATATTTTTTTAAAAAGAAGGCCCATCAAATATGCCTTTTTTTTTCTTTATAGGTGGTACAAGATAAAGCAGCAACTTGTTCTCCAACTCAAAGAGAATATCTCAATGTGTTCCTGAACACTGGATTTCTAGAAGCTTCACTAGATGATGGTCTCCTGAAAAATTTATCTTCCACTTACTGGCTCACATATACCTTCCTAAGGTATAAAAAACACTTTAACTAACAAAAATACTAACCCAAAAAGATACATGCACCCTTATGTTTATTGCAGCGCTATTTACAGTCACTAAAATATGGAAGCAGCCCAAGTGTCCATCAATAGACGAATGGATTAGGAAGATGTTATGGGGGGCAGCCCGGGTGGCTCAGCGGTTTAGCGCTGCCTTTGGCCTGAGGTGTGACCCTGGAGACCCGGGATCGAGTCCCACATCCAGCTCCCTGCATGGAGCCTGCTTCTCCCTCTGCCTGTGTCTCTGCCTCTGTGTGTGTGTGTGTGTGTGTGTGTGTGTGTGTGTGTGTGTGTCTAATGAATAAATAAATAAAATCTTTTTTAAAAAAAAGGAAGATGTTATGTGTGTACATACACACACACAGGAATATTACACAGCCGTAAAAAGGACGAGATTGTGCAATTTGTGGCAAAATGGATAGACCGAAAGGGGATTTTGCTAGGTAAAATAAGTCAGATTGAGAAAAACAAATACTATATTATTTTACCCATAAGTTAAATTTAAAAAAAGAACAAATGCATAAACAAACAAAAAGCAGAATCAGACCTACAGCTACAGATGATTGTCAGAGGGGTGAGCAGGTGGAAGA